GCAGCAGTAATCATAACCACTACACTACCAGAGTTACCTGTCAAGCCTTTGTTGGCATCTAAATATCATTCTTTTGAATTGATTTTAAGTTAGTTCCAATACCTTTTCTTCCTCAGAAACATTTTTTTGGATCTGCATCTGGATAATTTGTTTGAGTCACTGTCACTTGTTTCTTTGTGTGAGCTAAAATAGTCATCTCTGGGGCATAGTAGGATTGTCATATTTGTATTTATTTGATGATTGTGTGTTGTCATATTCTTAGACTCGCACCAACTGTCTCCTGTGGGTGTAATTAGAGAACAGAAGTGTGTGCACTGTTCTCATTTGCTGTTTGTGCACCTCAGTTTAAGGTGGGTTTGGCTGGTATTGGTTGCTGTCTATTGTTGATCAGGTGGCATAGGAGCTGGCATTGGCTCTTGCCCAGTGGGTGAAGCTGCAGAGGGTATGGTTGTGGCTGGACTGTAAGGGCTCATTTGCTGGCTCCTTTCCTGTCACTGTGTGAATGTGCTCTGCCAAGCTTCCTCCTGTCAGCAAAGCTGCTCACAAGATGTTCGTGTTGTGTCTGGCATGCAATTCATGAGTCAGTCTCCCTCTCTTGCTGTTCCTGCTCAGCTGTGTCTCCCAACAATCACTCAATCCACTTCTCCGACATTTTCTCTGAAGTTCAAGGTGTCTGAATTTTCACCTATGTCTGTTTCATTTGGTCACTTGTATCTTTGTTGTAGAGGGTCTGGGAAGTGCGTTTGCCAAGTCTGCAATCTTGCTAGAAGTCCTCAGGTCTGTGTTTTTAAATAGTGTCTTCATAGAAGACTTCACTGAGAAGTTAGCCTATAAACTAAGGCCTTAATGAGGTGAGGGATCAAGCCACTGTTGTGGGAGGGGTGGAAAACAAGGCAGAGGGACACAGCATCGCTGTATATACAACATCTAAAACTGTAAGACCACCATGAGAGTGAGACTAGTCAGATGAGGACTAAGGGTTTTGTCTGTGGCACATCAACAATTGGACGTGGTTGTTGTTGTTAGGTGCCAGTGAGTTGTTCTGACACATAGTGACCCTGTCGTTGTTGTTGTCAAATGCCATTGGTTCCATAGCGACCCTGTACAGGGTTTCTGAGGAGCGGCTGGTGAGCTTGAATGGCCGACCTTGAGGTTCAGACTGACTTTTCAGTCCAGCGCATTAACCCACAGTGCTACCCTAGGACCCCGTAGTGACCCAATGCACAGCATAATGAAGCACTGTGTGATCCTGTGTCAGCCTCACAATGTTGTTACGTTTGAGCCCATTGTTGCTTCCATTGTGTAAATTCATTTCATTGAAAGTCTTCCTCTCTTTTGCTGACCCTCTACTTTACCACTCAAAACGTTCTTCCCCAAGGACTAGTCCCTCCTGATAACACGTCCAGTGCACAGGAGATGAAGTCTCACTATCCTTACTTCTTCCAAAAGGATCTGTGCTTTTTCAAAGACAGATTTGTTTGTTCTTCTGGCAGTCCATGGTACTTTCAGTATTCTCCAGCACCATAACTCAAGTGCATCCTTTCTTCTAAAATCTTCCTTGTTCATTGTTCAACTTTCATATGCATATGAGGTGATTGAAAATACCATGGCTTGGGTCAGGAATGCCTTAGTCTTCAAACTGACATCTTTGCTTCTGAATATGTTAAAGAGGTCTTGCACAGCAGATTTGCCTATACAATATGTAATTTTATTTCTTGACTGCTGCTTCTGTAAGTGTTGATTGTGGATGCAAGCAAAATGAAGTCTTTGACAACTTCAGCCTTTTCTGTGTATCTTGGTGTTATTTATTGGTCCAGTTATGAGGATTTTTGTTTTATTTATGTTGAAATGCAATCCATATTGAAGGCAGTAGTGTTTGCTCTTCATCAGTAAGTATCTTAAATCCTCTTCATTTCTAGCAAGGAAGGTTGTGCCATCTGTATATTGCAGGTTATTAATGAGTCTTCCTCCAATCCTGATGTCATGTTCTTCTTCACAAAAACTTCTCTTACTATTTGTTCAGCATACATATTGTATTAAGTATGGTGAAATGATACAACTGTGATACTCACTGTTGCTGATTTTAAACCATCCAGTATCCCCTAGTTCTGTTTGAACTGCCTCTTTATCTTTGTATAGGTTCCTCATGAGTACAATGAAGTGTTCTGGAATGCTCAGTAAGGATATGAGACATGTTAGGGATATGAGAAAGAATAAGGAAAGGATTCTGAAAAGGAATGATCAGTGAGGAAAGAGGAAAAGCAGGAAAATGTGGTGTCTTAGAAACCAAATGAAGATGTTGGAAGGAAAGAGTGAACAATTTCATGAAATGGAGTTGATCTGGCAAGTAAGTTGAAGACAGAGAAGTAACAGTTAAATGTAGCAACTTCAAAGTCATTGGTAACCTTGAGAAGAGTAAGACATCTGTTAGGCCTCTGCAGTCCTGGGAAGAGACAAACTTGAGTTTAAGCAGGGTCCATGAGGATGGAAAGGAGTATAAATCTGCCACAGTTCAGTGTGGGAGAGACAGGTTTTGTCGGTTGGCTATGGAGGCTTGGGAGAGGGAAGTCATCTAGAAGTTACTTTGAAGGTTTCTGGTCTCCCAAACAAGGCCATATAGGACACATTGAGCCTGAGTCCTTAGTTTCCCTGGTTGGAGTGTGGGAAATTGTCTTTCTCCATTAGAACAGCTGAAGTAAGGGTATATGAAACAGAGAGCTGTGGAGTGATGGGTTGGTGTTAGAAAAGGGTAAAGAAGGTTGGAGGCATGCCTGACCTCTGCCTCATTAGGAATCCACCGTAGGCGGACCCATGACAGTTTTGAGATGGAAACTTAAAGGGCACTTTCACTAAAAAATATTAGAAACCACAGAGTCCAAAGTCTTAACAGCTGGGAAAGCAGAGACCCAGCAAGGAGAAATGCGTTGTGACATAATTTGCATAGCTTGTTGGTGGACTTTTGATTTCTAATCCCGTGTTCCTTATGCTCTGCCGCTAAAGGACAAGCTGAGGGGTGAACTTTAAGTTAGCCCACTCAATGGGAGGGAAAAAAAATTATATTAAAAGAGGAAGTTACCAAATAGCGCCTGGTGCACTTCCCATGTGTGCTTCAAATCGGAAGTCAATGCGATTGACTAAAACCTGCAGCTGGGAGCCCAGTGTTCTGTGCTCCGGTGGAGTGTTATGCCTTCAGAAGGATAAACAGGGGAAGTTAGCCTTATTTTGGAGTTTGTTTAGAAAAAGAGTAAGGAGAGCTTGGACTATAGTTCCTTTCTTTCTTTTTTTTTTAACGTTTTTATTGTGAATTGAGTGATAGTTTACATGAGAGAACATTGGTTTTACATTCATCCTGTTGTATTTCAATTCATTGCAATGATTACAATCCCCTCCATGCATCATCATTCAACAGTATTTGCTTCTATTCCTTGATTTTTTTTTTTATTTTTTATTTTTTGAATGTACACAGAAACACTAAAGAATATATAATCATTTTAACAACCAAATGGCACATTCTGCAAGCCTGCCTTCTGGCCGCCAGCACATAGCCTTTCTTCTTCCATGAGTCTAGAGTCCTCAGCTGCTCTATCTCTCCATGTCATCATCTCTGCCTCCATCTCTGGTATTGCTGCTTCTCTGGATAGGGTCCCACATTCCGTTCATGCTCTTCTCCCTTGATGGTCCTAGGGTCCTCTGTTCCGGACTATAAGATTACTCCCCACTTTATGTTACAAAACCTTTACAGTTGTGACAGTCACAATTAGTCCTGATAACAATTACTATTGAATTATAAGAATCTTATCCCAATCTCCTTTCACCAGACACACCTAGACAAGTTGAAAACTATTCAGTGGGGTTTCTACTGTTCCCTGTACACTCTGAAACTAAACTCCCTCTTGAAAACTTGTAAGCAGGTCACTTCGTGCCTTTATTGCCCTCCCTCCCCATTTTAGGTAGCCAATGTCTAAGTTGCCCATACCTATCAGCCCTTTGTATAGAGTGATAGGATTGATCCATGATGTGACGATTCCATCCCTGTCAGTTGGTATTTTATGGACTATAGTTCTTGAATTCTGGCTCTCAGCTCCAAGTGGCAGTGGGAAGGAATTCCCACTCACATTCATACAATCTTGTTGAAGATGGTCACAGGGCTGCTGCAGTGGCCCAGCCCTTCCTGACTCCCTGCTTTTGGGGAACCCCACCACCACCCCATAATCCATAGGAAGTGACAAGGGAGGCACATATCAAGCTTTAAGGTGCTTTTACTGGCAAAAAGAGAGACTGAGTGGTCTTGACGAGTCTAGGGGGAAGTTTAGCTCCTAGTTTAGGAAAGAGATGTAATAAATAGGTAGCAACTGGGGAGAGCTCACAGCACAGCAAGAAAGGGCATCATTTGTCTTGACCTTTAGGCCTGCTCAGCCTGTGTGAGCAAGGGTATGGGGTTCACGGAAAATTGGTGATGCAGAAGAGGAATTCTTGGGATTCTAAAGGATATCAGATCTGTCATCTTGCTTCTGAGAGGACCCTGGTCTTAAAGGTGCCTGAGTTGGTGCCTAAGGATTTGTCTGGGAAAATAAAAAAAATTGGATAAGGCTGATGTCAGGTGAGCACCCCAGAGCTCATGACAATACTTAGCTTAGAAACTCAAGCCTTGCGTGAGCACATGAAATCAAGTCCCTGGAGGATCATCCTGTGCCCGTACTGCCACATTTGGTTTCACCCCAAGGCTGGTCCCTGCTGACTTGTCCACCCACCACCCTCACTTTCACACAGGGAGGATTAGACACAAGGAGCTCTGGTAACGTAGTGATTACGAATTGGGCTGCGAACCTTAAGGTCAGCAGTTCGAAACTACCAGCCACTTCACGGGAGAAAGATGAGGCTTTCTGCTACCGTAAAGATTTACAGCCTCAGAAACCCTGTACAGGGTTGCTATGGGTCAGAACTGACTCGATGGCACATAACAACAATAACAACAACAATGGAAGTCAGGGTGTTCTCACCCCTAGCATCCTCTTGACAGCTTCCAGTCGTGCCAGGACCCGGGGGGCCTCTTCTGGACACAGCATTTGTAGCTCCCCAGGTCTCATGTGAAGCAGCTGGCTTCCCATTAGGGACCCAAGGGTCTTCACTGTGCTGTGAACAAAAGCAACAGAAGCCATCAGTGGAGTGGGAGGACACTGGGCCTGACTATCTGGGGGAAAGAAGGGATTGTTTGGGTTTGGAAGTTGAGATTATAGAAGAATTCATGGAATATGGTTTCAGGAATGAAGGAGTAAGATTCAACCAATTTCAGGATTGCCAGGCTTGAAGGAAAAGTTCACTGAAAGAGAGTCTCCTGGTGGCGGAGTGATGACTAACTGGCCATTTACATTCTTACTGAGTTCACTGCCCTCATCTTTGCTGCCCTCACCAAGCAGGGGTTCCGCATTGAAACCTGTAACCTAGGTATGGGAAAGCTCCCACCCCTTCTGATTTCTTTAACGCAACAGGGACAGCTCTGTGGGTCTGTCATGCACATTGGAGGTCAGGACATGTGATTCTTTGATTATTATCTGAGCCCCTTATGGAAATTACCCTCCACACCCATGGGGCTTCATAACTCACAAACTGGAGAAGTTCTCTCCCTGCAACCAGGCGGTGACCTCCTCAGGCTTTGAGCTGAGTCGAAGCATTGGAGCCTAGAGTTTGGGGAATGGAGATCAGAAGCCGTCTCATCTCATGGCCACCCAAATCACTATGACCAGGGTCCCTTCTCTGAACGTCTATGAAATCTCTTCTCTCACTTCATAGTTTGCTTGTCTGGCAGGGACCCTGTCTTGTCCTCTGCCTTGGCCCCAGGGCCCAGCATGATAAAATTTGGCACACAGGAAACATGCAGTAATATTGATTAAACCTAACCAGAACTCTCTCCTCTCCTTGTCATTGAATTTCACCCTCTACCTCTAACTCAGGGTATGTGGCTTCCTGGGATAGTCTAGGCTGGGTAGTACCCGAGGGGATGACAGGCCCTGGCTCCCTGATTGTAGAGGCTCCAGAATGTTGCTGGGAATGTAGCCACTCTGTCCCTTCTCATTCTTCACAAGCCACCACCGCTTGCTCTGGTCCAGAATCTGCCAAGAGTCAGTTCTTGAGTCATTTTTTTTGGGTCTCTGTCCAGTCAGGTCACCCTCTCCCCAGCAAACCTTTCCCTCCAGGCCCTTTCCCCTTTCCTTCTCTAGGCCACCCATCCTGGAAGTCCCCATATCCAGAACCTCCACCCAGGCTGCCTGTAGCTGCCACCAACCATGACCTCCTTTCCCAGCCTCTGGCCCCTTGCTCACCTCCAACACCTGCCCCTGGACCACAGACAGTTCCTGTGGGTTCCTAGAGTCAAACTCAAATAGGACTTGCATTTTCAGGGCTGGCTTGGCAGGTCTAGAGCTAAAGAACAGGAGGAGGTTGGGGTTCCTGGGCTGAGAATCATGGTTGTATGTCTCCTCCTGAGCAAAGTATGAGACATTCCCTAACCTAGGACCCCACCCCCCCTTGGTCAACAAACAGAGTCAGGATGGCTGGAGAGTGGGACCTCAGAAATTAAACCCCTATCCCAGTCCAGAAGGAGCTCTGGTAGCGTAGTGGTTATGAGGTGGGCTGCTGATCTCAAGGTCAGTAGTTCAAAACTACCAGCTGTTCCATGGAAGAAAGATGAAAGATGAGGCTTTCTGCTCCTGTGAAGATTTACAGCCTCAGAAACTCTATGCAGGTTCACTGTGTGTCAGAACCAACTATATGACACATCACTTCCATCACCATCCCAGTCCAAAGACCCCCAGATGTCTCATTCCTAGAGCCTGGTGGTGAATTTTGTGCTTCCAGAGTGGAAATGATAGCTAGGCCGTGGGGTGGGAATTTCTGCAGGCAGGATGATTTGAAATTTTGCTGAGTTATGGAGACTATTCAAACAGTAGAATTTTCTACATTGAAACTCTGCTCTGATCACTGCTGAGCACTTTACATTTGTTGTTGTTGATAAGTGTCATCAAGTCGGTTCTGACTCATAGAGACCTCTGTATAGGGTTTCTGAGGCTTCAAATCTTTGTGTGAACGGCTGGCAGACTTGAACTGTGGACCTTGTGGTTCGCAGTCCAATATTTACTATATGGAGCCACCATGCTCCCCTTTGTATGTTGCTGTTAAGTGCTATCGAGTCAGTTCTGACTCATAGTGACCCTGTATAGGTCTCCAAGGAGTGGCTGGTGAGTTTGAACTGCCGACATTGCAGTTCAAACTGACCTTAAGGTCGAGTGCTTATCCTATGGCACCACACCAGGACTCCCCTTTATATATGAGAGGGCTTCAAAAAGCTCTTGGAAAAGCAGAATTGAAAGAGAATGGATTTTTTCCATGGACTTTTTGAAGCCCCCTATGGGAAGTTAGAATTGTGTATGGGTAATATCAAAAGAAAGGGAGTGGAGCCAGGAGGGTAAAATAACTACTTGTTGCACCCAGTATAGGGGAGGGATGTATTTGTATGTGTCTGGTTAAAAAAGAGCCCAGAGGGTCTTTGAGATATAGAGATCCAGAGATCTATAAAAGACCCAGCTCTGACCTGCCCTCCCACCCTATCCCCACCAAGGACCATGTGGTCCCTACTAAGCCCAGGGCATACCTGAAGGAGTCATTGTATCCTAGGGGTGCCTGTAAAGGGCAGAACAGAGAGTGAGCAAGAGAAAGAATCAGCTGGGGTATTGAACCACAGTCTATACACACAAAGCTGCCTTATCCCCTTCCCTACTTCCCTACCATACAGGTATGGTACCCACATGAATTCACCCACCACTTAATTGTCATATAACCATAGTTTGAACTAGGAATGTAGTAACTAGCTAGAGATCAGGGCTTTGGGTATGGCTCTGTGATAAAATTCCCTTACCTGGTTGAAGGAGGGCTCTGGAGGCTGCCAACCATCAGAGAATGTGGGTGTGTAGGGTGGGGGCTCCTTGTCTGTCCATTCAGCCCTGTGGGGAGAGCAAAACCACATTCATATTCACTGTCTGCCAGGCTTATGGATGTGGAGAGGGAGGAGATGACAGGGCCTAGCCTCAGGGATCTCCTGTTTAATGGACCATGTACATAGGTGAAAAGGCCTGAGAACACCTACAAAGGAGACAAACAGTTATGCATGAGCAAATCCCATGGGAGGGAAATATATTAATTCCATAAGAATGTGCTGGGCATTAATCACATTGATCAAGAGTTTGGATTAAAGTGTAGTACCCTGAGTGTTGAGAAAGATGAGGCTTTCTGCTCCCGTAAAGATTTCCAGCCTCGGAAATCTTTACAGGGTCGCTATGAGTCGAAACCGACACCACAGCACATAACCACCACCAACACCCAGAGTGTAGGGCTGATGGCTCTTTGAGGATCATCACCTTTTTTTTAGTTCCACAGCCAGAAGAAAGCCTTCTAACTAAAAAGTTTGTGGAACTCTTAACTTGTAAGATGGAGCAAGGATTGAGTCTGGGATAGGTGCAGGTCCTTGTCTGCTCAGCCTCCCTTTCATTGCACAGGCCCCAGGCAACTTTGCTCTTTGTGGCCTCTAGGTTTGTTCTGCTTGGAATATTCTATTTTACCAGCTGGGTTAATCAGGGGGCTGCCAACCTCAAGTTTGGTGGTTCCAACCCATCAGCCTCTTCACAGGAGAAAGATGAGGTTGTCTGCTTTTGTAAAGGTTTACTGGCTCGGAAACCCTAAGGAGTGGTTCTACTCTGTTCCATAGGGTTGCTGCGAGTTGGAATCCACTTGATGGCTGTGAGTTGTCTCTTGGAAAAATGCACACTCACTTCCTTGAGGAAGTTGTTGTTGTTGTTAGGTGCCATTGAGTCGGTACCGACCCATAGTGACCTTACGCACAGCAGAACAAAACACTGCCCGATCCTGGGCCAACCTCACTACTGTTGCCATGCTTGAGTCCATCAATGCTGCCACTTGGTCAATCCATCTCGTTGGGGGTCTTCCTCTTTTTCTCTGACCCTCCACCTTACCAAACATGATATTTTTCTCCAGTGACTGGTCCCTCCTGACAATATGTCCAAAGTATGAGAGACGAAATTTGGCCATCTTGGCCTCCAAGGAGCACTCTGGCTGCACTTCTTCAAACACAGATCTGTTGGTTCTTTTGGCAGCCCGTGGCACTTTCAATATTCTCCTCCAACACCATAACTCAAAAGCATCAATTCTTCTACAGTCTTCCTTATTCACTGTCCAGCTTTCACATGCATATGCGGTTATTGAAAATACCATGGCTTGGGTCAGGTGCACCTTAGTCCTCAAGCTGACATCCTTGAGGAAGTAGCCTTCCCTGATTCACTGGGGCAGAGGTGAATATTTCGTCTTCTATCCTGGTGTAGCGCTGTGGTTTAATGCGCCAGACTGCAAAGCCATTTGAACTGCAAGGTCGGCAGTTCAAGCTCACCAGCTGCTCCTTAGAAACCCTATACAGGGTCGCTATGGGTCGGAGTCGACTCAACAGCATTTCACAACAACACCAATCCTGCCAATGAACTTGGTACTCACCTGGATTATTGCACAGGAGTCTTGTCTGTTTCTCACCCTACTGAACACTGTGGGGCCTGTATCCCTAATACAAAACAACAACAACAACAAACCCAAACCCAATTCTGACTCATAGCCACGCTATTTTTAAGGTTTCCCAGGCTGTAAATCTTTATGGGAGTAGACAGCTTCATGTTTTTCCTTGGAGCAGCTAGTGGGTTTGAACCACCAATCTTGTGGTTAGCACTCTAGTGCTTATCTAGTGATTGGCATATAGGAAGCACTAATAAATGTTTGTTCAAAGGGAACAAATGAATGATTCCCTCTTCTGCATCTTTTTAATTGGCTCGTTCTCTTTGGCCTACAAACATGCTCAGGTCTTCTTTTGACCCAGTCACAAGTTCCTTCAGCAGCTATCCTTTTCATCAAGCTCTTTGTGAATGTGTCTATATTCTTTGCCTACATCTCACTTGCTTCTTTCATAATTCTTGCAACCTGACTTATACCTCTGCCATTACTGTACTGAAGCTAGTTTGTCTAAAGTCTTGATAATTTCCTGATTACCAAATCCAATGGCCTTATATGGTCTACATCCTTCTGGATGACCACAGCATTTAGTGTCATTTTACCTTTGGGTCAATCAGCCTAAAATCAAGTCACCTAAATGTAATTTTCTTAAAATATAACTCTTTTAAGAGGTTTTAACTCATCTTCAGTTTTTCTATCGTCTGAATTTGTGTCTTTCATTTTATTCATTCATTTCTTGTTATTTTAGGAAATTAGAAAATGTCTTTCAAAGGGCACATCTGACTTAATTTTATATTTAAAATAGTATTTATCAAATATACTATCTTATGAATGATGGAGTTGTTTTGTACCTTTGTGGAGGTATCCTTTTAAATTGTATCTGTTGAGCTATTTTTTCTAATGTCTTAAATTCTTGAGTGAGTAGGGCTGGATTTTGAGACACAAATAGTATATCCAACATGTTACTCGGTGTGTAAGCAACTGAATGTCAGTATTTGAGGGTCTGCCATGGATCCTCTTATTTGGGTTCAAGGCAGAAACTCTGTTTTCTTCTCTTTCTAGCATTAGATGGCTACCATGGCTGACCCTATAGACACTGTGAACCCAGCAAGGTAGTGGTAGTCATTGTGCACCAAGACATGCTTACACCATTAGGATTTATCCTTAGCACTCTGGACAACCGAACACTTCCGAGATAGGAGGTCCAAAATCCATAAAATTTCCTTTTAATGATTGACCCAAGAGAGCTCATAAAGATAAATTGTATTAAATTGCTTCATGTCTTTAGATAGACTGGATGAAAAACGAAAACCCTGTTAATGAGCTGAATTGAAAAGAGTTGGTCATCAGGCAAAAGACTTATTAGATAAATTGGTTTGTTACCCCGTTGACGTCTTTGTCTTTCTGAAACCCTTTTCTCTCTTGGCTTTCATGTTTCTGCTTTTTTTGTTCTACTTTTAACTCTCTGGAATTTCTCTTTGCTTCCTTAACTCTTTCTCTTCTTACTACCTACATGCAGTTGTTCCCCACAGCTCTGCTCTCTTATGGAATAGTGCAAAGTATTCTCGCTGAAATGAATTCTGGGGATTCTCCCTTCTAGCTATGGCTCCAACTATCATTTCTCTACTGACTTCTCAAATCTACTTTGCCATGTTGCATTTCTCCTAATGGCTGGGCCACCTGTTTTGGTGGGGTTCAACTGGTACCTCAGCTCAATATATCCATGCTGGTTCCACCCCTCACTGCCCACTGCATTCATCAGTTTGGCCTTCTTGTCCAGCAGCTCATCTCACAGTTATACAGCCTTGGAATACCTCTTTCTCTCTACTCTCTAGCCAATTGGATTACCAAGTATTACTGATGCTACAACTGCAGTATCTTTGACATTAATTCTTGAATTCTTGGCTGCATTGAGACAAAGTTTTAAATTTGTCCTTGGCACAGTGAGAAAATATTTTAGAAGAAGATTGCCAACTCTCCTTTCTCAGAAGGGACTGGTTTTTCCCCTGAGATAAGGCCTTTTTGGTGGTGAAGTAAGTAGGTGTCCTTTTTCTTTTTTTAAACTTTTCACACTTGTTGTTGCTAAGTACTGTTAAGTTGGTTCTAACTCTCAGTGACCCTGTTTATGGCTTCTGAGGCTTTGGATCTCTGTGGGAGCAGAAAGCCTCATCTTTTAACACTTTGCCAAGTGAAAATTCAGCAATTCCATGTAGAAGTCCACAGTTTGTTTTAAAAGATTACTGGTTTGTGACCAGTAATAGGCTATCCCTTGGCCCCATGCCCCTTATCCCCAGTGAATTGACCTTGCTCAGTCCTTGTCTTTACTCACCAGCTGGTGGTCCAGGCCTTGCCCAGACTCTGCCAGAGGTCACTCTCAGAGGCGCTCAGACAGGACTTCAGCATGTTTATAGTTTTGGGGGTGAGGAGCGGTGAGTTCACTTGGGCTGCTAGACCAGACTCAGGGCAGTAGGTCAGAATCTGAAGGAGGGAGAGAAGATGTGAGGAAGCTTAGGCATCCACAGGGCCAAACAGAGGTGAGAAAGGGCCCAGACTGCCTGGCTTCCCACATTGGAAATACCTCCTGTGAGTGGCTCCTTCTACCTCAGGCCTGCTGTCCCTCCCATTGTCTCTCAGAGCCCTTATCCCAGCCCATCTGGACTACTGGGGCATGCTGTGCATACCAGAGATAATGTCTTGGGGCAAGGAAGAGGATGTGTTGGGGAAGCAAGGGGTAGGCTCAAAGGTTCCCTCTGTCCCCTGCCCTTCCCCCATGTCCCCTGTTCTTACCCCCACCCTTTTTCCCTCAGTTGCATCTTGACTTCAGCCTGTCCCTCTTTACCTCCCTGTCTTTCCCCAACTCACAGATTCCAGAGTTTGAAAGATGATATGCATGAACTCTGGGGCGCTTGGCTCCTGCAACTGGCTGCTCAGCTTCCCCTGGGGACATAGGGCAATGCCTGTTACCATAAGGGCCCCAGATTCTCATGGGTCTTGCTTGGGAGCTTGACACTCCCCCAAAGTCCCAAGAGTGGAGAAGGGGAGGTTCCAGGGGAATAAACTGGAGAAAGAAAAGGCTTGGGATGGTCCACGAGACCAGGAGGGTAGAGGGGGAAGAAAGGGGAAGAAGATGGAGTGGGGAACTTTTGGGAAGCCATCTACCAGGAGGATGAGGCTGTACTTGATCTTCTGGAAGCAGTCGATGTACTCTGCCTGTGTCAGCCCTGTTGGAGAGGGCTGTGGGTCACAGGCCATCCAAGCCTCCTCTCCCTGCTCCCCACTTTTCTAACTTGGCCCTTATCACTCACCCTTCTGATCCTTGTTCTTTTTCTTCCCCAGTCTCTTCTTTTTACTGCTGGTCTTTTTCTGGGTTGTCTTCAGTTTTTCCACAAACAGCTCAATGTCCCTTAGGATGTGTCTCAGTATCTCCTGGGCCCCAAACAGTCCATGACCTTGAGTATAGCTAGTCCCAACCCTGGAACTCCCAACCCCACCCCTATCCCACCTCAAGCCTCAGACTCAGGCCCAGCCCAAGGCCAAGCCAAGCTTCCCTGGCCATCCTGGCCCACAGGCCCAGAAAGTCTTAGCAAATCCCTGACAATCTACAGTTACCTCATCCCTCTCTGAGTCCTCGGGAGATGGGGACCTCCTTGGAGGAGGTAGAGTGTGAGCTCTTGGTTCTCGGGCACTGGAGTGATGAGACAGGGGCCTTGGGGATGGTGGCATACCTGCAATTTAATAGGACTGTGGACTCAGAGCCTTCTGGATCTTTCATGTAAAATGTCATTTACCTGCTCCCACACCTAAACTTACTGTGCTCTGGTGTCTTCCTGTGGGGGTCCTCTGGAGCTGGGCTCCAGTCCAGATGGGATGGCCACTCTATAGAATGCCCCCGAACCAGAGTGGGTGTCCGCTCCAGAGGGGGTTCCCGGTCTAGAGGGAGTGGTCTTTCTAGAGGAGACCCCCTCCATCTGTTCTGGCTTGGGCGAATGGCTCCAAATCGAGGTCTATGGCGATACAATGGGGAACACATCTTGGACATGGATGTTGGGGAGAGGTCCCATCCAACTTCTGCCTAGGACCCAGGAGCACCCCCACTTCTTTCCAGGACCCACCCCACATTTTCCTAGTCTCCATCTGAGTCCTTCCTTGATGCACCTGCATTTCTACCACCAAGTATACCAACCTTTGGGCCGTCTCAGCCCCCTTGTCAGTCTCCAAGGATAGCCTCTAGTGCTCCTTGGGCCCAGCCCTAGTCTCTTTCCCATGCCCATCTATGCTCTGGCCCCAGGTGGCAACTCCCCAGTTCCAGGCTCCTGTTGGCTCTGTCATAGCTTCCGGAATCCCCAAGATGTGGGGCTTGGGTCTGGCCAGCCAGGTCTGAGCTCTGTAAGGTTCTATAGGTGGGGATGGGGCAGAGGCTGCCTACCTTTGTTCTAGCTCTTCCTCTAAGGCCTTCTGAAGGCTGGTCTTCAGGAGCTCTGCCTGAGGAAGCAGCAGTCAGGTAGGCATGCACACATGTGTGTAAGAGGGCACGTTGTTCTCTGGTCCCCCACATACACTCTCTCCCCACCTCACCCTGGCTGCTCACCCTCACTTCCTGGCACTGAAAGAGCAGAATGCTGGTACTTGGTAAGCCTGAATCCTGCACTGTGATGGACAGGACGGAGTTGTAGGAGCAGGTGTTGAGTGCCACATCCATGGTCTGGATGCTGTCCACACGATAAGAGTCCAGCTCCTCCTGGCCAGGCAGAGAGGTTGGCAGTGAGATCACTGAGAACGAGGCTTGACTCCGGGAGCTCCTGACATGGGGTGCTCCAGCCCTCATGGTTGTCTGGGACTGGGGTAGCATCTAGCCTTACCCCTATGTCTCTGTCCCTGCTCTCCACCTAAGTCTGGGTATATGGAGGGATGGTGGCTAATGTTTTAAATATGGAGGATAGAGTTCAAGAGGCTGGAACTTGCTTTTGTACAGCCCAGGTTGGCTGTGATCCGTTGCTGGGTTTTGTGGGAGAGCTGACCTTTGTCTCGATGTCCAGCAGCTGGAGCCAGCCATCTTTGACCTGCAGGAGCAAGTCCTGGCTCCACACCCGGCCCTGCGCATCCATCTCCTGAAGCTTCTGCAAGGCATCCTTAGGCTCCCGGACCTTGTGAGTCCCCAGCTTACATGTCATCAGGTGCTGAGAGGGGAAGAGTAGGCCCAGGGCTGGGAGCAGGTTTGGAGAAGGGAGATCAGGGGTGGTGGCGAGGGTGGAGGAGGTAGCAGAGAAGGTAGACATGTCCCTGGACTCTTTGCAGGGACAGTTCTAGATAATGCAACCTTCAAGGGCTAGTTTCAGGGTCAGTGGAGAGGTGGGCAGGCTAAGGAGAGTGCTCCTGGGGCTAGGTCCGAAGGGCTGGATGAGAGCTTTTCGGACCCTGAAGGAAGGACAGTCCTGGCTCAGAACAGTCCAGGACAGTTCAGGGGACTGGATGGGAGAGGGTGTAGACTCCAACGACCTAACAAATAAAGCCTGAACTCCTCCGGGGGTGTCAAGTGCAATTGAGCTTTCCCTGACTCATAGTGACCCTGTATAGGGCTTCCAAGGAGTGGCTGGTGGGTTTGAAGCACAGACCTATAGTTAGCAGTCCAGTGCCTATCCTACAGCACCACACTTGTTGTTAAGTGCCATAGGGTTTCCATGGAGCAGATGGGTTACTAGGAGTTCACAGCACCACACTTGTTGTTGTTATGTGCCATGGAGTCAGTTCCTACTCATAGCGACCCTGTACAGGGTTTCCGAGGCTGTAAATCTTTATGAGAGCAGAAAGCCTCATCTTTCTCCTGTGGAGAAGCTGGTAATTTTGAACTGCTGACCCTGAGGTTAGCAGCCCAAGTCGTAACCACTACTCTACCAGAGTTTGCACTAGGGCCCTCAAAATTCTGTCCCGGGCTCTCTTTGCTCTCTTTGGGTACCCACTGCCAGCCTGGTCTTCCTCTTCATTGACTTGAGTCTAGCATTCCTGCTTCTATGCCTTTGTTCATGCTGTTCCCCAGACTTGGAATGCCTTTCCTTCTTGTGCTAGTCCCCCTTTTTCCTCCTTTCCCCATCTCAGTCTCTACTCAAGTCCCTGCCCACTTGTGGTTCACTCTCCTCTAGGAGATCCCTGCCTTCTCACAGCCAAATGCTGATGTCATAACTACCTGTCTTGCCCCTTGCCCTCTGCCTGCAGCTTCTTGTTGGAGGGTTGCCTCCTGCCCCTGGGACCCAGATCACACTTCAGCATGTTCAAGGAACCTGGACATTATGAGCAAACCTGAAGAGTCTCTTCCTGCACTTGCCTGCTGTACTCCTCTGCCATGAGCTGAGAACTGCTGGCCTCCCTCTAGCTGACTGGGAGCCCTACATATCCCTGATGCCCTGTGGAAACTCCAGGTCCCTCCCTGATTCTGCTCCATTAGAGCCTTAACAGGGGGTGCTGGCCAGGTGTGTCCTCTGCCTCAGCCACACCCTCATTGTCTGTGCTTTCTCCATTGTGTCAACAGCCCCTCAAGCAACTAGATCCCCCAGCACTAGTGTCATCCTTGGGGAGGTCCAGAGACAACATGCTGATCCATGTGCATCTGGGAGCTCAGGCCTAGAGCATGGACAACTGATCTTGCAGTTTAAAGGGCTTTGCAGTCTTGCTCATTAACCCAGAGCGCTACACCAGGACTCCTTTTAGGAGCTCTGTATTTCTCTCAGGGACTGCTGACCTCACACATTTCCTTCCTCCAGGACAAAGAGCAATTCTCTGGGCTGGGGACTGATGAGGCAGGGGGTAGGGCAGCTCAGAGGCTGGCCCACATCTCTATTTCTTCCTGCCTGGAGATAGGCAGTCCCGCCCTGCTCTGCAGGTCCCCATTCCCCTCCCTGGCAAGTAACAGATGCTCTGTTAGGCTTGTTGTCTGGGGCAGGCTATTGGCTTCTGCAGCTGGACCTTTTCTTAAATGTCTTTTACTTTTTTTTTTTTTTATCAGAACAGTGGGCACATGAGACAAAGTTGGGTTGAGTTGGGAAACAATGTTGGAGCTCAGGGTACTCACCTCCACCCTGTGCTGCAGGAAGCTGGGCTCTGAAGCGAGGCTTTGGGAGTACTCCTTCCGGTGCACTGTGGGGTTGAGGCGGGCAGTAGTGAGGGCTGGAGGTTGTGGGGGCAGTGGGGTAGGGTGAAGTGAACAGCTGCAGGCAGTGAGACGGAGTCTTTGTAGAGAGGGGGAGACTGGAGGAGGATGTAGGAGGGAGGGGAGAAGAATGGAGGTTGGGGAGCTGGGAGGGGAAGCTTACAGTAAATGGCTCTGCTGTTGGGCCGGGACATGTTGACACTGCTGAGGACAGTTCTCTAGACCTAAACCAAAGAGGCAGTCATCAGGACAGGGAGAGGAATCCCAGGGTAGGCAGGGAGGCTGTGATTGCAGCTTGTTCCTGACTGGGCTGATTGGAGCCCTGGTACCAGACTCAAAGCCCCGGGCTCCAGGAGGCCTTTTACAGCAGTCTCCAGCTGGTGGGTGTCCTCCATGGAGAAGCCTTCCATTTGGCTGGCTTGGAGGCCCCAGGCCCAGGAAAGGGAAAGCCTACAAGGAACCAGAGCATGGATGGGCCCCAGGTCTCCTGTGACTTGGTGAGTGAAGCACTTTTCCATCCATCCAGGAACGTTAAATGGATAGGGACCTGTGGCTGAGGCTGGAGCTCCAGATCCTATCCTAGGCCTGGGTGTGAGAGATGAGAGGTGAGTAGGAGGAACCCAACTTCTACAGAGAAAGCCTTCCCTGCCAAGCAAACCCTTTTGTTCAAACGTGTCTCACTTGTACAAACTGGTAATAAACTGATTTTGCTCTTGAGCTGAGGAGGCTCACAGGAAGTGTGTGTGTGTGTCAGTGTGCGTATGTGTGTGAATGTGAATACATGTAATTGCATTTGTGAGGGGCTCTGTAAGGTTCATCAGTGACATCTCACTATACTATCCACCTGCACTTTCCTGAATGTCTACCAAGTCTTTCATTTTTTTGCCTTTTCATATCTGTACCCCCTTCTCAGAGCTCAGGTCCACCCTATCTTCTGAATTATAGCTCAAGCACCCCCTCTTCCGTGAAGTCTTCCTTGACCACCCCTCTGCACTCTACTGGCAGAGGGCTCTCAATAAAGCCACACCTAGCTTGTACGTTCATAATAACAGCAGCCGAAACAGATACCGTGGTTAGTGCTTTGAGCCTCATGCAAAGTCCTTACAGACATCGTTTTATTTCATTTTCACAATCATATCCTTGGATTTACCTGGTGATTTGTACCAAGCTTAGAAGCTTTGGTGGCACAATGGCCAAATGCTGGGCTGTTAACACAAAGTCAACCTTTCAAACCCACCATCTACTCCATGGGGGAAAGATGGGACAGTCGACAGCTTTGGAAACTCTATGGGGCAGTTCTGTTCTGTCCTATAGTGTCTCTGTGAGTCGGAATCATCTTGATGGCAGCGGGCTTGGTTTCAGTTTATGTGCCAAGCACCGTTCTGAGGGCTTTACCTTCAATGGCTCATTTAATCATCAAAACAACCTTATGAGGATGGTACTATTATTGTCCTCATTTACCAGGTGACGACTCAGGCTGAAAGGAGAGCAGGCCTGAAGTCACTGGTTGGTATGTAATAGAGAATGAACCCAGACCTGTCTGGCTCCACACACAATGCTTTCATTGTTTGATTACAGATGTGCCTCCCTCATTGAAGCCCTGGTGTGGCACTGCAGGATAACGTGTTAAACCACAAGGTCGGTTTGAACCACAAGGTTGGCAGTTCAGTTTCACCAGCTGCTCCTCAGAAACCCTATGCAGGGACGCTATGAGTTGGAACCGACTTGACGGCACTTAACAACAACAACAACACTGCCCATGAGGACAGAGACTTGTTTTGGTCATGGCTGTGTCCCCTGTCCTCCTGTCACAGAGTGGCCCTCATATGTGTTAAAATGGACCTGAATTACATAGGGTGCATGCAGGGCTGGGGTAGAGGGTCAGTCAGAGGCATGAGTCGGGTATGTGTTGTCTGAATGAGATTTCTATATACATCCTGCATAGGATATCAGTTTCATGAGTGATCACATATCTGCACAGAACACCTAGGTTATATGGAAATCCTGGAATATCCTGGGTAAAGAAAGTATAAGAAAGCAGCCCACACAATTCGTAGGACTGTTATGGAAATAACAGAGGATCTGATAAGATGGCCGTGATGTGGAAACAAATTAATGTTAAATAACTAAGGAAATGCAGAGGAGATGTCTACATCTATTTTCCTTATCTGGGAGGGCCAGATTCCCTTTCCTCTTCAAAGGAAAATGTGCTAGAAGCCGGCTTCCCACCCCACTGCCTCATCCCAGAATACTTCCTGCTTCAAGAAACAAAAGAGAAAATGAGGTTCATCCTAGTCAGCCCACCTTCCTCCCACCCACCCAAAACAGATAGACACACATGCCTTACCACTGGGTGAAGGTGGGGAGGGCTGTGGTGGCTCAGTTTCCACCAATGACCCCCAAGGGGTAGGGGTTTAAAGCCAGAGAACAACCAAAACCAAACCCACTGTTTTTGAGTTGAGTCCCCACAGGGTTTCCAAGACTTTTATGTTTCTGAAAGCAGGCTACCACATCTTTCTCCTATGGAGCAGTTGGTGGGTTTCAACCATTGGCCTTCCCTCAGTCAAACACCTTAACCACTGAGCCACCAGGGTGGCGTCTGAAGCCAGGAAGGGGTATCAGAGATTGGGGAAGCCATGAACTACCCTCCTATGCTTCCCAGTCAGCCAGTGCTGACCCCCACGCCCTTCCTTGGGGTTGACCCTCCTGTCTGCAACTGGAAACAGGCTGTTGACACAATTAGGGAAACCACTGAGTTGTCTCCATCTGTCCAGGGATCCCTTTGAGCTACCCTGGGTTCTGATCTTCTCTGAGGACCAGGTCTTTACCTGCGTGGCAATGAGTCCTGGTGGTTGGTCCCCTGGGGTTGCTGGTGTTGTAGCTGGTGGTCCGGTGCTGGTGGTGGGAGAACAGCGGCTTTTCTGCTAGTGGCCACAGGCAGAGCCCCAGAAACAGGCGGGCTCCCGGTGAACGAGAGGGCCCTGCGGTGATGAGGCCATAGAGGCAGCCACACCTGTGCTCTTTGGACCCTGGTGGGTGGGGAGACTAGACTGTAGCAGTACCAATGCTGACAGGTGACCAGATGGTGCCCTGAGATTGGCCCGAGACTTCTGCTTCCTAATTGCCCTCTTCTACTTGCCTCTTATCCTAGGATGAGTTGGGACCGACTTGTTAGGACTTAACAACAACAACACTGCCCATGAGGACAGAGACTTGTTTTGGTCTGTCCCCTATCCCCCTTTGCTTTTTTTTTTTTTTTTTTCCCCACATTCAGTATATTTATTGAACTGTCTAGTAGCAGATAATGTACACACCTTCCTCCCCTGCTTTAAGTCAGTGTGACGATTTTCCAATATAAATGACAATTTCCCAACATAAACGACTTAAAGAGAAGCTTGGTTAGGAATGGAATGGAACAGCCAAAAAAAAAAAATTTATCACTGATGCCTTTTTAAAAAAACCAACATTTTCACCAATTATTTTCAAACAAAACCACACACACACACACACACACACACACACACACGGTATTTGCACGCTATATATTTTCAGTGTTTCTGGTGGAAAGGAGGCAGGCAGTTTCAAGGGTCACGACAAATCAGTCCAGGAGGTTTGCTCAGCTTCACATTATCCGAAGGCCCTGGATGGAAGATTCTAGGGTTTTGAAATCACAAATTGTCAGTGTGCCATCGATGCCGGTAGTGCAGAATTTACGGCAATCTTGCTTGTCCACCTCATAGATAGACACTTGAGTGATGCTGTTTTGGTGCAGTGTCTCCAAGGCTGTGTTGCGGTCCTCAGTGGTGGCCCGCTTGTCCATGTTACGGAAGCGCTCCGTGGCTGACATGTTGCGCTGGATGCTCTGTTTGGGAATGTCGAGTTTGGAGAGGAAGGTCAAGCAGACACGGTCGTCGTATTTAAAGAGCACGGGGCAGCAGTCATGACCAGCAGCCACGACGCTGTTCTCTGAGACAAACGATCGATACACTCAGGAGCAGCAGGAACTTGGTCTTCAGAGTTGAAACCTGCACACTCTTTGAGGCATCAGCAATGGACAAGGTGCTGTTGTGGCTGACTCAGGCCAGGCGACTCCCATTGGCGGAGAAGCTGACCCCGTGCACCCAGCCACCACTGACGCTGCCACCAAACTCTGACATCAGCTGACCAAAAGGCATCTTGCTGCCCCATGGTGTACTGGCTGGCTTCTCATCCACTTCTTTAATGTAGGCAGAAAACACCCGGCATTTGAAGTCACATGAGCCTGTTGCCAGCAAAACGTTGTTGGGATGCCAGTCCAATCTGAGGACCGTGGAGCGGATGGGCTTCTTAATGTGCTTGCTTACCCACCAGTCATTTTCAGACTCGAAGTAACAGACCGAGATGAGCCGTGCTCCACTTTCCATGGCAAATTTGTTCTCCAGTGGAGACCACTTCACAAAAGTGGCCGCCCGGTTAATTCTCAGGATCACCAGGGTGGGCTTCCACACACTATCTTTTTAACTCCAGACATACACGCGTTGAGGTCTGCCCTGCAAGTGACGATGCAGTCGCTCTTGGGGGCCCAGTCTATACTTGTGATATGTCCACTATGTTCCTTGAGTTCATGAGCTTTCACCCACTGGCTCCCATTCTTCTTATAGATGTGGACTTCATGATTATTGGGGCTAAGGGCGATCTGGGTTCGATCCTTGTTCCAGGCATGACGGGCTCTAGTAAAAACTGATGCAGAGACATTATTCTTAATGTTCTCAAAGAATAGAAAGCTGAGATCGGGGCGGTTCGGTTCGGCTCCAAGAGGAGGATTCGCGGACTCTGGTCAGTCGACGCAAACGGGCTCCCCCCACCCTTTGCTTTTTGGGCACTTCCCCTGGGGCCCCAGGTTAGCATCAGGCGTTAGCATCAGAAGGAGTGGACACTGGGATGTGTATTTGTGTGGGGTGTGGGTGTGTGAGTGCTGCACCTGTGGGTAGGGTATTGATTTTGTAAGAGAAGATGAGATGGTGGCGTGGGACCACCGCGCGCATTACATGATGTTGTTGCTAAGTGCCTTCGAGTCAGTTCCAACTCACAACAACTCTGTACAGGGCTTCCAAGAAGCATCGGATGTGCTTGAACTGCCAACCTGTGTTTAACAGTCCAGTGCTTATCCTGTGGAGCCACACCAGGACTCCAGGTATTACATGGTGGGTGGTGG